AGAGTTGACACAGCTTTCAGAAGAAGCTGTGAGACAGTGAAAAGCTATGAATTACAAATTAGTCACCAGCCTAGGTGAGACATGATGCTTCACGATATTTCGTGTACCTTTAATATAGGTCATAGTGGGTGTTTCTTATCTGTTGGTAATCACACCCGTAGCTGGAATTCTTGTCTGCATGGAGAGGACTGAACCTGCTTTTGTCTGGATTCAGAAACTTTGCTCCCACTGCATGTTTCAGAGATAAGGTTGACAGGAGGGGCTAAGTGTGTGCTGGGAGCTGGTAACTGTTGCCTTGTTCATCATAACTTTCTGTGAGAGAGCATGCAGAGGGAGAAATTACCTACATTAAACAACCACTTTTTAACTTGCAACAGTAGCTAACTTTAACCATGGTACACTTTTTCTTTCTTCCCAACAATAGTCAATTAACCAGAGGAAGTTTTAGGCTATAACATTTGCTTTATATTTACTTACATCACATTTACATCAACACAAGTATCATTGTACCAACAAAACATTTAAAAGCAAACCCACCGTTGTGTGTGAGTAGATAAATATGCACAGTGTTATTTCCACCCGACTCTGTCATGGCTCTCTGTGCACAAATCCATTGACACTGGTCAGGCAGCACTGCAACTGTTATGTAACTATTACAGGAGTAATCTCTGACATTTTGAGAATTATGACAGAGTTTATGATGGAAGTTCCAGTCAATTTACAGCTTACAACTGACAACTGGGTGAGGTACAGTTCCATACTTGATAGAGCATGTGTGTGTTCATGCGCCAGTGGGTAGTTTCATTCCGTGTGGCAGAGTAATGCAGGCTCCATCCACTATAGCCTGTGCTAGCTCCAGGTCATTGCACTCTGCAGCCAGGGCTGCTGCTCTGAGTGCATCCCAGATCTCTTTCCGTCCATCGAAAGCTGGAGCCGTATCCCAAAGCTCATCCCTCTTGCTCCTCAGCTGGCCCGCCGTCATCGGGTACTCGCTCTTCCATTTTGGACACTCCTTCTTGTGGGGCTCATTACGTCCTGAAAATATAAGAAGGCAGTATTTGTTCTGATCTAAAGTCTGACCTAGAACAGATCTAAAGACTGTAGCCCAGTTATTCGGGAACACGGAGGACTTGCCTTTTATGCACAACTTTTAGATTTTAAAAACCTGCCAGGAACCACATTTACTGTAAGGTTTTGCAACAACTGCAGGTAAAACAGCTTTGAGAAACTTGCATATATAAATGGTTGACAGGTTGGCTCAGATGTCAGCTGCCTCAAATATCACTGAGCTCTTTATCCTTACCTTGGGCATGAGTGAGTGTCTAAATATTTTTGTGCAATTTAAAGGTTTCTATATATTTCCTTAAGCAGTTGTCAAACTTTAATTTCTGACAAAATAAATCACAAACAACAATTTATCAAAGTTTTAAATGGTCTTCCACACTGAAAAATAATCTTACGCGCAAAACCAATATTTCCCACTGTAAGATACATTAGAGAAGTTACAATGCAGGAACTGCTCTTTGTCAGAACAGCATATAAACTAAGTAATTATGTACCAGATGTTGTCAATGTGTTATACAGTGGTGTGAAAAAGTGTTTGCCCCCTTACTGATTTCTTATCTTTTTGCATGTTTGTCACACTGTAATGTTTCAGATCGTCAAACAAATTTATATATTAGTCAAAGATAACACAAGTAAACACATCATGCAGTTTTTAAATGAAGGTTTTTATTATTAAGGGAAAACAAAATCCAAAACTATATAGCCCTGTGTGAACAAGTGTTGGCCCCCCTGTCATTTAAGGTCATGCCACAGCATCTCAATTGGATTCAGGTCAGGACTTTGACTAGGCCACTCCAAAGTCTTCATTTTGTTTTTCTTCAGCCATTCAGAAGTGGACTTGCTGGTGTGCTTTGGATCATTGTCCTGCTGCAGAACCCAAGTTCGCTTCAGCTTGAGGTCACAAACGGATGGCCGGACATTCTCCTTCAGGATATTTTGGTACACAGCAGAATTCATGGTTCCATTTATCACAGCAAGTCTTCCAGGGCCTGAAGCAGCAAAACAGCCCCAGACCATCCCACTACCACCACCATATTTTACTGTTGGTATGATGTTCTTTTTCTGAAATGCGGTGTTACTTTTACGCCACACATAATGGGACACACACCTTCCAAAAAGTTCAACTTTTGTCTCGTCTGTCCACAGAGTATTATCCCAAAAGTCTTGGGGATCATCAAGATGTTTTCTGGCAAAACTGAGACGAGCCTTTATGTTCTTTTTGCTCAGCAGTGGTTTTCGTCTTGGAACTCTGCCATGCAAACCATTTTTGCCCAGTCTCTTTCTTATGGTGGAGTCATGAACACTCAGCTTAACTGAGGCAAGTGAGGCCTGCAGTTCTTTGGATGTTGTTGTGGGGTCTTTTGTGACCTCTTGGATGAGTTGTCGCTGCGCTCTTGGGGTAATTTTGGTCGGCTGGCCACTCCTGGGAAGGTTCTCCACTGTTCCATGTTTTCGCCATTTGTGGATAATGGCTCTCACTGTGGTTCGCTGCAGTCCCAAAGCTTTAGAAATGGCTTTATAACCTTTTCCGGACTGATAGAGCTCCATTATTCTCTTTCTCATTTGTTTTTGAATTTCTTTGGATCTCGGCATGATGTCTAGCTTTTGAGGATCTTTTGGTCTACTTCACTTTGTCAGGCAGGTCCTATTTAAGTGATTTCTTGATTGCGAACAGGTGTGGCAAGAGAAATTGAACTCAGGTGCGATAAACCAGTGTTTTGACAGGGGGGCAAACACTTGTTCACACAGGGCTCTATAGTTTTGGATTTTGTTTTCCCTTAATAATAAAAACCTTCATTTAAAAACTGCATGATGTGTTTACTTGTGTTATCTTTGACTAATATATAAATTTGTTTGACGATCTGAAACATTACAGTGTGACAAACATGCAAAAAGATAAGAAATCAGTAAGGGGGCAAACACTTTTTCACACCACTGTATACACATATCAATTGTATCACCATACCAATAAAGTCAATTGGATTAGCGGAAGGATTCAAATCAAAGTGACTATTTATAGTGCTGTGGATTACTGCAGTGGCTAGTAACACATACAGTACATGTGCACAAGAGTACACACTAGTGGATCGTAGGCAGTAATCGCGCTCCACATAAAAGGATTTATCTTCCCCATCCCATAAGGCATCGGTTGGAGAGATGAGCACTCTGACTAATTAAAGGCAGAAAAACATACACGTCTACCACAGCAAGCACACAGACATACAAACACTAAACTACTACAAATCAGATGTCT